GCCATGTGGAGGGCTGGGGCTGGTGGGAGGCGTGGCCAGATGGAGGCGGGCCATGTGGAGGGCTGGGGTCGGTGGGAGGCGTGGCCAGATGGAGGTGTGGCCATGTGGAAGGCTGCAGCCCAGGCTGGGGCTGATGGGAGCCGTGGCCGTGTGGAGGGGTGGGGCCGGTGGGAGGCGTGGCCAGATGGAGGCGTGGCCATGTGGAAGGCCGCAGCCGGGGCTGGGCCTAGTGGGAGGCGTGGCCAGGTGGGAGGCAGCGCCGGATCCAGGGCCTGTGAGAGGTGAAGTCAAGTGGAGGCGTGGGCAAGTAGCTGGTCCAGGTGGCCGCGCACCGCCCGCCGTCCTGCCGAATCTGGCCGTCTCACGTGGTCTCTCCCATCCCTGCAGTGACGGGATTCCCCTACCCCACCACGGGCACAGCGGTTGCCTACCGGGGCGCGCACCTACGGGGCCGGGGCCGGGCCGTGTATAACACCTTTCGGGCTGCGCCGCCGCCGCCCCCCATCCCGACTTATGGAGCGTGAGTACTGAGGGGCATGGGGAGGGAGGCCCCGGGAACGTGGGGGCGGGAGGCCCCGGGAACGTGGGGGCGGGAGCACGGGACAGCCAGAGGGGCTAGGCAGCCTTTTCAGAACTTCCAGGGACTGGGAGAACTCCCAGACCACAGCAGTGCAGCCGCCTCCCCTTAGCAGTACCCCCACACCCACCCCGCCATGGCGAGACATTTAGGGGGGACTTGTCCACTCTTTGAGCCCTGGTCGCGCAGTAGTTAAGCGTTCGACTGCCAACTGAAATGTCGGCAGATCGAACCCACCAGCGGCTCCAGGGGAGAAAAACGTGGCAGGCAACGTTTGTAAAGATTACAGCCTTGGAAACCCTGTGGGACAGTTCTGCTCTGCCCTGTAGGGTCATTATGAGTCGGAATCGACTCCACGGCAGTGGGTTGGGGTTGGTTTGTCCACGCTTCAGCTCAGCGGGGGGCTTGTCTAAGTCCTCTCTGATCGGTTTCATGGGGGTCCTGGGGTCCTCGAGGGCAGGGCAAGGACAGTCTTCTGGGGTGCAGTGCCTTTTATCACGGAATGGGGGTGACAGTTGCCTGGGGTGGTTGGGGGAGGGTGAGAAAGGCTGGGGCCATGGGCCCCCAGGGGTTGTGGGAGAAAGGAGCTGATCAGCAAGGGTGTTACTCTATTGTTATACCAAAACAGGGCACTGGAGCAAACGCTTGTTAAAATGCCGGTCCCGTGGGCGGGGCTGGCCCCGTGCCCCCTCCCCCAGCAGACGCCAGAGCCGGCCTACCCCACCTCTCCAGCGTTCCCACCACTTTCTTGTCCGTTTGCTTCCAGGGTCGTATATCAGGATGGATTTTATGGTGCTGAGATTTATGTAAGTGGAGGCCTGGGAGGGGAGGGCAGGATCTAGGCGTCTGTTGGTTCCAATGAAAATCCGCGTTTTCCCCTGCGCCGCCCCACCCACCCCACTGCCATCCAAATTTAAAGGAGGAGTCCTTGGAACCCCAGTAGGATGAGGTGTGGTGTCTACTCAGAGCTTTGCACCACTGGGAACCTTAGCAGAGTCAAATCTGTCAAATCTGTCCTTGTCAAGGAAGCCCCAGGGTAATACAAATGGTTAATGCACTCAGCTGCTAACTGAAAGCCTGAGGTTCCAGTGTACCCAGAGGCCCCTCAATAGAAAGGCCTGGCCATCTGCTTCCAAAAAATCAGCCATTGAAAACCTTATGGAGCACAATTCTACTCTGATATGCATGGGGTTGCTATGAGTTGGGGTCGACTTTATGGCAGCTGATTTACTGGTTTGGTCCTCACCAGTGGGGTCCCAGCAGCCCTGTGAGCTGAAGACCAACACGTGTCTTCTCTATAGGAGAAGGGACCCCCACACCCCTAACAGGGTTTGGGTCAGTGGGCGGGCCCCTTGGGCACCTGTGACCAGTGCTCCAGAGGCCCTGAGAGAGACAGGAGCGGGGGCTCAGGGCAGCCAGACCCCTGTGCTCCCGGGTCCCTCCCCCTTCGTGGGGCTGCACTCACGGCTTCCTCGGGCTCAGAGCCCTCGCTGTGACTGCCCCACCTCACTCCGTCCTGGGCAGCTGCCTGTCATCCAATCACTCACTTGCTTGTCCAAGGCCAGGACATCTGCTGAGCTAACGCGCCTCTGTCGTCCTGTGCCCTTGACCCCTCCCAGTGTCCAGGATGACACCCAGAGCCACCCATGGTCAGCATTAGAGCCCGGAATGGGGGGTCACTGGCCGGGTAGTGGCTCTGGGGGCACCTCCTGCAGAGCTACGCATATGAAGGTGCTGGTGTATCGAGGTGCTGGTAGTACGTGCTGAATGTACAAGTGGATGCACGAACGAATGAATGAATGAGTGAGTGAGGTTTCGGGGCACACACCTGCCCCACCCCCACCCACCCGCCCTCTGCCTCACTTTGAACCTTGCCACCTGGCAGTCCTCAGAACCCATTAGACCAACAGCTACGTGCCCCCAGGCCAGGCACCAGCCTCACCTTCACCAGGCCGAAGGGCAGGTTTCAGGAGGGAGGCCGGGATTTCTGCAGCCCCGAGGACTTGTCTTGGCCCGCCTCTGCTGGCTGGGCTTCCCCGGGCTGAGCCCCACTGAGCCCTCTGCTCTCTCCCTCTGCTCACCTGCAGGGAGGCTCTGCTGGCTGGGCTTCCCCGGGGGGCTGAGCCCCACTAAGCCCTCTGCTCTCTCCCTCTGCTTACCTGCAGGGAGGTTATGCTGCCTACAGATATGCTCAGCCCGCCGCAGCAGCCGCAGCCGCCTACAGCGATAGGTAAGACTTGGGGCCGCGATTCATCTGGGGCATTGGAGGGGGAAGGTGGGCTCAGACAGGCAGGAAAACTCACCTGCCCTTCAGGGCCTGGGGGCGCCTCCACATAGGTTCGGAATGAGGGGAGCAGGTGTGGGTGGGGCTTGGAGACCCGAGCCCGCGTGTCCCAACTTCCTCAGTCACATCCGGCGAGCCGGCATGGTGGAGGGAGGCTGGAAACCCCAGTCCTGGGCCCGCAGTGCGCCCCTCTGAGTCCCAGTCCTTGGGGGCTGAGCTGCCCCACCCCAGCTCCAGAGGCCCCCATGAGAGGGGTCATTAGGAGCATGAGCTTCTGCCCCAGCACACCTGTGGTTCCGAGGAGGCAGGGTGCTGAGCATCCGCCTGCCTCCCGGGAGGGCTGTAGTCCGGAGCAGCCAGCAGTGGGTGCCACTGAAAGCAGTCAGCCCTCTGCCCAGCTGTAAGCACACCCAGAAGGCGGGTGCCTGGGGGGCAGGTCCCCCTGCAACCCCTGTGGGGTGGCTGAACCCGGCACCTTTCTCCTTGGGAACTTGAGTTCCTGTTTGGGGCCATGGGGCGGGGAAGCGTGGAGTCACTGTGCCAGGCGCCTGACAGGCACCTCATCATGTCTGAGGCATGCGCTCGGGCCTGAGGACCACCCAGCCCTCTCCCAGCAGCCAGTGGGACCCTGTCGCCCACACTCCCCGCAGCCTCCTGCTCCATTTCCTGGTCAGGGGTAAATGGTGGGTGGGGCCTGGGCCAGCCATCTAAGAAGCTGATAAGATAAATTTGGGGGAGAGGAGGGCCACCAAGGGGGCAAGAGTGCCACCTCCTTTGTGCCATCCTCCCCCACTGGATCTCCCCCCTCCTCCCGAGCCCTCACCCCACACTCTGCCACTCCGTTTCCGGGCACCAGAGTTTACCTTCCCTCCAGACGAGCTCTCCAGGGACCCCTCTGTCTTCCATGTAGCACCAAGTATAAAGCATGGCCCCTGTGAGTGTCACCACAGGCTGGGTGGGCTGCTGTGTTCCAGACACTTCCTTCCACATGGGCAGGGAAGACTGGCCAGCGGGAGGGCCGTGCTGGGGGAGGTGGGAGGCTGCCACCCCTCACCTGCCTCCCACGCTCTCCCCAGTTACGGCAGAGTGTATGCCGCCGCAGACCCATATCATCACACCGTCGGCCCCGCGGCAACCTACAGCATCGGAACCATGGTAAAGGGGGCGCCAGGGCTGATCAGGGACCACAGCAGAGCTGGCGGGGGGCGGGGCCCGTGAGAGAGGCCCAGACCTCTGACTGAGGTCCTGGCTGGTGCCTGGAACCGGGCTGTGAGGTTGGAGTTGGGCCAGGAGACTTGCCCCTTTGCACCCTCGCTGAGTTAGGTGGACGAGGACAGGCAGTAGCCTGGCCCACGGGGAGGCGTCCTAGGCTGACCTGTTTTTCCGAGCCCCGAAATTTACAGTCCCACACCACCTCCCATTTCCACGGCCAGGAAAACAAGCCTACGGCCTCATGATTTTCCAGTCTCTGCTGCAGAGGCAGGCAGGGGCTGGGGGTGTCTGGCCACCATCTGTCCCTCTCCTGTTCTGTACTGCACCTTCTCCCACCTCAGGTAGCTAGGGCTCCCCACTGTTCCTCACCCCAGCCCCCCCACTCCTCCTGGCTCCAGGGCTGGGGAAGTGGGGCTCGCTGCCGGAGGGGTGCGGGCCAGTGTGTGTGTGTGTGTGTGTGTGTGTGTGTGTGTGTGTGTGTGTGT